ACTATTAAAGTTAGGATGAAATCCCCTGCATTTCTGGAACGTATACAGGGTGATATATGTGGGTCCATTCACCCTCCATGTAGACCATTCAAATATTATATGGTTTTGGTAGATACATCTACAAGATGGTCACATGTGTGCTTACTGTCAACTTGCAATATGACATTTGCGAGATTGTTGGCTCAAATAATAAAGCTAAGAACACAATTTCCAGATTATGAAATTAAGACAATTCGTCTTGATAATGCTGATGAGTTTACATCCCAAGCCTTTAATGATTATTGTATTTCAACTGGGATAACAATGGAGCATCCGGGTGCTCATGTTCATACACAAAATGGTCTAGCAGAATCATTGATCAAACGCCTCCAATTAATTGCTAGATCAATGCTTATGAGAACAAAACTTCCCATTTCAGTATGGGGTCATGCTATTTTGCACGTAGCAGCACTTGTGCGGATAAGGCCCAGAAGTTATCATAAAGTCTCTTCATTGTAATTGGCTTTTGGTCAGGAGCCAAATATTTCCCATCTTAGAATCTTTGGTTGTGCGATATATGTTCTAATTGCTCCACCATAACGCACAAAGATGGGTCCTCAAAGAAGGTTGGGGATATATGTTGGATATGAATCTCATTCTATTATAAAATATCTAGAGCCGATGACTGGAGATTTATTTACGGCAAGATTTTCTGATTGCCATTTTGATGAATCAGTATATCCAACATTAAGGGGAGAAAATAAGCAGCTGAAAAAGAAGATAGATTGGAATGCATTATCACTGTCTCATTTAGTTTCTCGAAAAAATCAATGTAAACAAGAGGTTCAAAAGATTATTCATTTAAAAAATATTGCAAATCAATTGCCAGATGCATTCACTGACCTACCAAGGGTGACTAAGTCACATATTCCAGCTGCTAATGCTCCAATTCGAGTTGATATCCCGGCAGGACAATTAATTAAAGCAAATGACTCTAAGCTATGCTTGAAACGTGGTAGATCAATCGGTTCTAAAGATAAAATTCCTCTAAGAAAAAAAGGAGCAAGTGATCAAAGTGAACATAACACAGAGGTAGTGGCTCAAGAAGAGCCCCAAGACGTAACAAATGATAAGACCTTAGGTGTCACGACCCTAACCCCGAACCCAGTCATGATGGCGCCTCTCGTGAAGACAAGGCCAGCCAGTCTAACCCAAATCATCTTTTAAAGTAGTTAATTAACACAAATATAGTCTAAACATGGTTCAATAATACTAAATAGCGGAAAATATAGATAAAAAATGCGAAAATCTATCCCGACATAGCCCTAACCGGGGTGTCACAAGTCATGAGCATCTATGAGTCATAATACAAGTTTGCTAAATCCAATAACTAGTACCATGTCCGTAGGGAATATAAAAGACGAGATAATAGAGACACGGGGCTGCTGACATCAACAGCTACCTCGTAATCCCTGAAAGCCGCCTAAAACTGGAGGAATCAGCACTCAGGAGCGGAACCAGCAATGCCTGAATCTGCACACATGGTGCAGGGAGTAATGTGAGTACTCCGACCCAGTGAGTAATAAATATAAATAATGACTGAAGATAAGAAATCGCATAAAAACACAAGGCATTCCATACTGAAGCAGAAAAATTACTTTAAATAGTAAAGCAATGAGAAATCAAGTGAAATCCTTTTTTTTCCAACAAGTAAAACAAGTAGTTCACAAGTGAGTAACAAAATGGAAATTCGCCCCTCGGACATCGTATCAACAAATCCGCCCCTCGGGCAATATCTTAGAACAGTACCAGCCCCTCGGGCTCAATATCAGAACAGAGCCAGCCCCTCAGGCTCAATAGCAGAATAGTAACAGCCCCTCGGTCTCAATATCAGAACAGTAACAGTCTCTCGGGTTCAATATCTAAACAGTAACAGCCCATCGGGCTCAATATCAGATCAGAATGGGTACCCGCACTCACTGTAGGTGTACAGACTCCGGGAGGGGCCCCTTACGGCCCAAGCGCAATATCAAGCCATCTCGTAGCGTCAAATCTAGGCCCTCGGTCTCATATCAATCAAGCCACCTCGTGGCGTATATAAGTATCTCAGACCCTCAACCTCATATCAGTACCAGTGTATCCTCACAACTAGGCCCTCAGCCTTTAATCGCTCCAAAATCATCACAACCCCTCGGGAAATAGTAAAACAATATTTCTCAACCCAAAACATCATTTAGAATATCATTTAAATCTCAAAACTGAGTAAAATGACTGAGTAGTAAAACAGTAGAAAAATAACAGGACTAAGTTCAAGTAATAAGTCAAAACAGTGAGGAAATGATAGTAAAAATCCGCGAAGGATTCAAATAGTTGGCACAAAGCCCAAATATGGCAATTAGCCCAAAGCATAATGAAAACAAATAAGTCTCAGTCAAATACGCAAAAAAATCATCAATGCGGGATGGACCAAGTCACAATCCCCAATAGTATATGACCACACGCTCGTCATCAAACGTGCGTCTCACATCAATATAGCACTACAATGTGCAATCCGGGGTTTCAAACCCTTAGAGCATCATTTACAATTAATACTCACCTCGAACTAGCCCGAAAAGCTACTCTGTAACACGCTTGCCTCTCGACCCAACTTCCGAGTGCTCCAAATCTACCAAGTTCAGATTTTTATCATCAAATTATGCTAAATGAATGAATTCCAATTGAAAAATATTGATTTTAAACACAAAACCCGAAATTAGTCAAAACTCGACCCCCGGGCCCGCATCTCGGAATTGGACAAACTTTATACCAAAATGTTCTTCATCATCTCACGAGTCCGTACATATAAAGAACTCAAAAATCAGAGTTCGTTTGACCCCTCAAATCATCCCTAGAAGGTCTCATAATCTCAAGCCCTAACTCCACCTTTTTCTACTGATTTTCATATCTAAATCCATGTAAGATCACATATTTAACTCAAAAATAAGAATAAATCACTTACCTAGTATTTTTTGGTGAAAATCCTTCCTTGAACTCTCCAAAATCATCCAAACCAAATGAAAGGAATGAAAGAAATGAGCTAGAACTCGTGTTTAAAACAATCTGCCCAGGCTTCATCGAGGTGTACCTTGCGTTGTGCAGGTTGTACATCCTCTTACCATTTTTCCTGCTGTACACCTTTTGTTAAAATGCCTATAACACTTTGTGAAAATATCCAAATGACAAACGGTTTGAAAATTTAAAAACTAGACTCGAAGATCTTTCATTTGATAGGTTGTACACCATATAACCCTTTATATATTCCGAGATATGATCTTATAAAGTGCATCAGAAAATTCTGTCAAAACTGATCCACCAGCCATATTCGATCTGTCATAACTTTCTGATAGAATATCCAAATCCTGAATGGTTTAACCTTCTGGAAACTAGAATGCAAGGGCTACAACTTTTATGTTTTGCAATTTTTGTTATTCCTCATAGATTTCATGATATGAGCTTCCAAACTGGACTCCTCGCACCAGAAATTTTCTGGTGCACAACTGAAGCTAAAAAAATCTGCAACTTTTCCAAAGATAAAATAGTCCGTTTAACCACCCGAGGCCACTTGGACCTCAACCAAACATGCCAACATATCCCATAACATCATTCAAACTTGTTCCAACCTTCAGAATGCTCAAAACAACATCACAACACCAAATTCGCATTGGATTCAAGCCTAAGAATTTCAAAATCTTCTAAATCACTCTTTTGATCAAAAACCCAACCAAACCACGTCCGAATGACATAAAATTTTTCACACACATGCCAAATGACACAACGGAACTACTGCAACTCTCGGAATTCCATTCCGACCCCTATATCAAAATCTCACCTATCAACCGGAAAACGCCAAAATATCAACTTCGCCAATTCAAGCCTAAATCTACTACGAACCTCTAAAACTCCTTCCGATCATGCTCCTAAGTCATAAATCACCTAGCGAAGCTAAACAAACTATTGGAACTCACATCCAAGCCCTTTAACACATAAGTCAACATCCGGTTGACTTTTCCAACTTAAGCTTCCTTAAAAGAGACTAAGTGTCTCAAACCTTACCAAAATTATTCCGGAATGACTTCAAATTTTGCACACAAGTCACATTCGATATTATATACCTACTCCAACTTCCGAAATCGAAATCCGACCCCGATATCAAAAAGTCAACTCTCGGTCAAACTTCTCAAAACTTTCAAATTTCTAACTTTAGTCAAATGATTCCAAAATGACCCACGGACCTCTGAATTCACTTCCGTTCACGCTCCCAACACTAGAATCACCATATGGAGCTATTCTCAGACTCGGAATCCCAAACAGACATCGATAACACTAATATGCACTTCAACCCAAACTTATGAAATTCTTTCAAAAATGCCAACTTCCACTATAGGTGCCGAAACATTCCAGGGTGTTCCAAAACCTAATCCGGACATATGCCCAAGTCCAAAATCATCATACGAACCTGTTGGAACCTTCGAATCCTGATTCCGAGGTCGTTCACTCAAAAATTCAATCTTAGTCAATTCTTTTAACTTAAATCTTACGAAATAAGAATTCTTTCTCCAAATCAACTCCGAATTTCCTGAAATTCAATTCCAACCATGCGTACAAGTCATAATACGTGAAGTGAAGCTGTTCATGGCCTCAAACTATTGAACGACGCGCTAGAGCTCAAAACGACCGGTCAGGTCATTACATTCTCTCCCACTTAAACATACGTTCGTCCTCAAACGTGCTAAGAACTGCTCTGGAGTTATCTGAAATCACTGTTTAATACCTCGTGCACCTTCCCATGCTACCACAACCCAATTGAGTACACTTGCTCAAACAATTCTAAGGATATCCTCTTTTATTTAGGAAGATGGGCCTTAGAACTAGGTTTTCAACATCGGAAATCCTCTGCCAGGCCTTTTTCCAATATATAAACACATTATCAACTACCACACGATGTGCCAAACATGACTGCATACATTTGCTGAATTAGCACCATGCGCCGCATAATTCATCATCTAACCACAGTGACACTCCCTGAACCTAATAGCCAAAATTCCACGAATCTGATGCTCCCAATGCACCTTATGATATATTATATACATCCTGCTATAATGCTGGCAATACCACCAAAACGGAGGAGATGTGTAGAAATTTCTAACCAACTGCAAAGCTAACCAAACATTGAATGTTTCATCTTGACTGAAATCCTTATCTCATTACGAACCAAATAATGGTATTTGTCCTGTAATATACTTCTACATAGTCTTATCGCACCGATCCCTGATACCATAATTTCGTCTCGCCCAGTATGAACTGCTTAGGCAATAAGTCACCTAAGGCATGACCAACAGTCTCACATGATGCCACAATGCGCCAATAGGCCTCAACTCGAACATGATGCATAAGGAAATGACTCATGAAAGGACTACTCATCTCACGCAACTAACATGGATTTCCTTAGAAAATAGGAAGCAAAACACAAGAAAAATAAATATAGGAGCCTTACTCAATATCACCCTGTTGCGGCGTGCAACCCAATATAAATAACATACCCATGGTGGCGTGCCACTTGATCCAATCATAAAATTCACATAAGGAGATATACACGGAGCTGAATTTCTCACCATTACAATTTACCGAATATCGGTCACAAGCACGCTAAGCGCATAATACCATCCTGGGGAGATCGATAGAGCCATACGCTACAAAACTCGAGCACAACTGAGGTGCGATATATATACTCTGAATCACAAGAGCTCTCCTTCTCACATAACATCATCACTACATAGAGACTCAACACATAAGGATCTATCGAGCCGTTTCACAACTCACACGACACAATCATAATATACATGAATTTGACGACGGAACAACATCTTATATTCCACACCCCTCCTTGAGGAGCGCTATACTGAAATGAAAACATCTGACTCACATGGGCCCCATAAGTCTGTTTAAATCCTTTCACACACTTCAAGCCAATTCCGCTCACACTGAACTAGGCTAATAGCTTTACCTGGGTCAATAATAACCCACTTCCTCTTATAACACACAAGGACAACCATCACAGCCGGGACAAACACATAAGAACTTCATATCCCTTCCGAGCCACAAGCAACTATGTACTCAACTAATCAAGAACTTTCCATTGATCCTATCTTGAAGAAAATCACTACACATCCCATGCTCTTCACACTCGTAGAAAACACGCATCTCTAACCGTGGCAGAGACCATCAAGAACTCTCCGAACTCCATTTACACAAACTAAACTGTCAGGACCGAATCTTTCTAACTCAACCAAGCTACGCAGTTCATTAAAACTCAAGAGCATTGTCGCGAAACACCTGTAGAAACTCTTTACCTCATAAGCACCCAAAGAACTCATCACATCATTTCCCATACCGAGCCGACCTACTACTAAGCTATCCCATCTATACAAGTTCCTCTGAATTTACCTTCGACTTGATACTTGTTCCTGCTATCACATCACAATCCTCGACCCAGACTCACCACACGAGACCTAAGCATAAAGCTACACCGTCTAAGGCTCATAAGTCGTTGAATACTTCCTTAAATGTTCCCAAAAGCACCACGTTCAAAATACCTACCCCGACGAGACTTTCTGCGAATCTAGAACCATTACCTTCCTAACCCTGATATATATAGAATCCCATAATTGATATAGAAATGACACAAATCTTGACACCCTCCAATGCAACCCTCAATTTCTAGCCGAATCATACACTTGAAAATTTCCAATTTTTACATGTACAATCTCGAACACTTTCAAACAATTATCGAGAGTCATTCACTATACTCAAACTGCAATTAGCCTGATCAAACGAACCGAACAACCTGCCTCATTAGCACTCCTACACCGCAAAGTGTAGCCTCACCTTAATCCAATCAAGCAACTTCCTGTCCTATGCACCGAACATCCTTTACCAACAACATCTCAAGACATTCTGTGATTCTCATACCTATGAAGCATACTATAACCTTTGTCCAAAAAATTTCCTTTACTCGAGCCACCCTCGGTCTCAATCTTCGTAGGCCATAACTGATTCTCCCATACACCTCAAACTGGAACCAACATAGCACATAACTATACAATCAAATAAGCTATAGTAGACTCCCCCACTTGGCTTAAGGCCACAGACCAAAACACACCATAACTCATAATGCATATACTCTATTACCGCCATAATACCATACAGAAATTTAACGCAGTCCTTTATATGCTCGTGAAACACAGACCATTTAGTACTTTAAATCTTCTGCAAATCTCGCATTCATCCACGTAACAGACATGCCTACTCTCTTAAGCAACTCAGACTCAATTGTAACGCATATCTTCCACTGGTAAGAGAGATCTCCAAAATAAACGACATAAGGATCACACAAACTTCAAAACAATCTGCAGGAGATAACCCACCTGCTTCGCCTCAAACTGGTATCTCTCTTTACCCTTCCATAATCATAACTATTACACAATCACTTAGTCTTCCTGGGTCTGAACCCATATCATGACATGAAATCTACTTTACTTCCCAACCAGACAACAGGAAAAGATTCTTCACACTCCCATAACTCGGGGCTATACATCAAATCAAGATGGAAATAAAGCACCTAATAGTTCTTTTTACCCTTAAGTAACCTCTTTTTGCCACATTCGAACAATCTGAACACATCTCGCAGTCACATCATACTCATCACATAGCTATCCAGTCATCACTTCCCTTGATAGGGACACTATCAAATATATAAATCCAAATACACGCGCTCATTCAATCAGCACCTCGGTGCTCAAGCTGCAGGCAAAATCCAACCTCAAGTCCTCCAGACTGCCCAACCTCAACGCACAGAAAATTACATCTCGCCCCTCGATCAGGGAATAACAAGCCATTGATGCACATCTGATACTGAGCGCCCATGTGCACATACAAACACGTGGAAGGAATTTCAAGAGTTACATTTCAAGCTGAATCAATGATGCACAATAAGAATTCAAGAATATG